CAATCCTGAAGCTTAAAACATAATTTAACAGCATCAGAGAAGAAAAGAAAAAAAAAAAAAATATAAATATATATATGTATATATATATATATATAATACTTTTGACTATAAACAGGTTTTGAGTTCTATTTTGCCTTAGGATAAAGAGAGTGTTTGGCTAACAGAATTTATGGCAGGCTACATCTTTTCTGTTATCCAAATCAGCAGCAAATGAAGTAGGTTTTATGAATAGAAAAATGATATTAAAAGAAACTTACCTTTTTTGTAGGCACAGCCCTGGCAGTAATGAGAACCTGGTTGGTGCACAGAACTTTTACAAATTCTACAAGTGGAGAACTTATTCTTTCCATATGGATCAAATCTAGAAATTTTTTTTTAAAGAGAGAGAATTGTATATTACACTAGAAACACTTAAATAACCCCACTTACTCAACACACAGGATTAATCCATGCTCTCCATCCCTCCATCAACCTCTACAATTGATGGGTATAGAGCTACTGTCTGATATGCCTGTACATCTCCACTTTGCTGCATCCATGTGAGATGTATAAGGAGTCAATTGTACCGTATTTATTCCCAACCTGTTCATATCCATTCTATCTGTCATTCTATTTGCGTGACATAAAAATTATGGAACTGATGAAATGTGAGAGCAAAAGGGTGACTGATTCCATAAAGTCACTACTTTAGGATGACTAGGAATCATTAGAATTGCTATTGAATTAGGTACGGGTATAACAACTGTTGAAAAAAATTGGGGGAAAGTCACTAGGAAAGGAACTCCACACTTCAAGTGTCAGTTTTTGCTCCACTTTAAAGATACTGAACATATTCTTGTGATTTTTTAGACAACAATCATGTAGAGCACTTATCAGTAAGTGCTTATCAAAAGGCTTTGTTTCAATACCAAATAATTAATACATCTACAGTTCTGTGCTTTAATTTAAAATAAAATAAGGTATGTGTAGCTTTTAATGACTGCCTATATTAGCCGACATTTTTAATTAACTGACTCAATCCTTTTGGATAAAAGGGCTTCCACTATATAAAAATGCCATATTATAGTGACTGGAATGAAAAAAAGAAATAGTTCCCCCTAAAATGGCAATAATACTCTGATTTAAATGTGCTTCCCTAATCACAAAATGAGTTTTTGTAATGATCCTCATATACTAGATAATAAACACTGTCCTAGACCTGGTGTCTTCTCTTGAGGTATAGCACACCAGCAGCCCATTTACAAAGGTTAATTTTTCCAAACCACAAAGAATATCACTTTACTCCCTACAAGAGAAGACAGGTACTCTTCTTCCTTTCAGTAAGTTCAATTTGTTTGGACATGTATTTCTAGAGGTTATTTTTTCTTAAAATAATATTATTCAAAGATTCACATTTTAACCTTGGAAATCTTACAACTGGCAGAGTTTTTTCCTAAAGTAACAATGCATCTTATAAATAACGGTACCATAGATTCAAAGCAATACTGTAGTACATTTTCCAAAGTGAGAGAGTAACAGCTACTTTTTAATGGTATCAGAGTAAGTGTGAGAGCATAAAGGAACTGGAAGTATATAAAATCATAAAATCTATACAAATATTAGCTCAGTCAATAAAAATCGAATGGTCCTCAAAGACATCAATAAGTCAACAACACATAGTATGACTCTGCATTAAAGATCCTATTATGTGCCCAGCACTGTACATAGTTAAGGCTTTATTGTTGTTATTTCTAATCCTCAGGATGACATCATAAAACAGGTATTCATTCATTCAGCAAATATATACTGAGTGCTTACTATGTACCAATTACTGTTCTAAATACCAAAGATCAACATGATAGACAAAGCCCCTGCCCTCATCAGATGGCATTCTAGAGAGAAGAGGTAAACAATAAGGATACAGACAATCCAATAAAACAAGCAAGCTTTTCAAATAGTAGCATTATAGAGACAATTCTAACAGGATATGAAGGCAGAGATGTGGAAAAGGAAAGAAGAGGTTAGTTTAGAGGCTGATTAGGGAAACTTCTCTGAGAAGTGACCCTTCAGCTGAGACCCAAACATCAAGAAGGAGCCAGATTTGTAAGCTCTCAGTGAAGACCTCTAGGAGACAGCAGCAAGGACAAATCTCTTTGGATGGGAGGCGGCTTGGCAGAACTAATGAGGATGGCATATGATGAATGAGGAGGAGTATGGTACAATATGAAGTCAGAGGGGGAGATACAGTGAGGAGGAATAAGGTAAAACCAGCAGGTTGTAACAGAGAGCTTGGTTCTGAGTGCCAGGAACCACCTAACTCTACGTTTTATTGCAAATGGAATGATGCAAATCAAATTCACTCCAGTAGGCTTAATATTAAAAGAGTGAAAAATTTATATGACTTGTCTATGGATCCTCTTACCCACCTTGCTTTTTTTGAAGTCAAAGCTTTATTTTCATTCAGCTTTCTTCCACCACTTTCTGTATCAAAATAAAAGTTATTTTAGTGGGTTATTTCTATACATTTAACATATAACATTAAGAAGTTCGTTCTCTGACTTTCTGCCAAACTAGTAGCCTCTATCTAATTTTTAACAGTCAGGTTATTAAGACACTGCTTAAAAAGAAAACATTTATTAGAGAAACAAAAATTTGTATAAAATACAATAATTTTATTTCTCAGACTCAAGGTAGTACTTTAGGAATGGGTCTATATTTACTTTATATAGTGTAAAATCTAGAACCCACTACTTCAGTGTCATAGACCTTGAATATAATGAAAATATTTCTTTTCTTTCCCTTCAAAAACATATTTTATGTATTTAATGATAATGAAGGTAAATACTTCACTGTAAGTAATTAATGATAATGAAGGTAAAATGGGTTAAAGGATTTATTCAAGAACATAAAAACCAGAAGATTTTAAAAAAATTCTCCTCAGAAGAGTGGAGAAATTAAATGCAGTCTCTAAATAAGCTGAATCAAATCAAATATTATGATATTGTCACCACTCGACAATCATTTAATAATTTTGCTATCTCCTGATATTACGAACCTGTGCAAGTAGCTGAGAACTAAGTAAAAGATATTAAATAACTTGGGGACCCAGTATTCTTTCATGTTTAATAGATAAAATACTTTGAACACATTTCATTTTATAAATAATGTAAAAAATAAAATATTCACAGGAGTATCTGGTTAAATTCCTATTTTCTAAAAGAAGAATACCTGTGGTATTCCTAGCACCATCTTTCCATGTATCTGGAGTGATAACAGTACCAAGTTTCTTTTCACCTGTTAGAACAAGATAGTAAAAAGCAAATTAAAATTTACTATTTCATAAGTGCACTACATTGTGCCTAAGGTTCACAATGGTATCAACAGTCCTATTACTGTAGGAGCCTGTTAATGCTGAGAGAGCAGTCAGTGAACTGAGACTTCTATTAACTGTGGGCAATGAATGACTGATCCACAGTAAAATCCGTAGGATAATAAGATGGCTTATAATAAGCTTTCTCTGTTTGTTTATACTTTAAACAAATCTGGTAAGTCTATTTGTTCCATATATATTTACTAAGCATCTATGATGTATAAACTTATACAAAGTGCTGAAAAAAATAAAGTGACGAATCAGACAAAATTTTAAAGAGATTATATAGTACACTAATTTCTTTAACAGCAATCTTTAATCTGTGTTCCACAGGTCGATCTTGAGATATGTGAGGTAGAGTTGTACACAAACCGTTTTTTTTTTTTTCCTGGCAAGAGTCTATAGCTTTCTTCAGATTCTCAGAGAGAAGCTGAGAATCATTCAACCAAAAAAGACTCATTCAACCAAAATATAAGCTAAAAATAAATGGTATAATAATTGAGAGCTAAAGTACTAGGATAAATTCCATGCAGGAAGAAATAACCCTGGCTAAGGAAATCCAAGAAAGTTTGGGGAGAAGGCAAGAGAGAGGATTTGAATATGTGGCAATAGGACTGTGAACAAAAAGGAGTAAAGAGGATAATGGCAGACTCGATAAAGGACACATTCTGAGGAAAGGCATGGAAATCTCCGAGGACACATGGGCACAAAGAGCAGTTTTGTTTGGTCAAAGTGTGAAGAGGGTAAGGATCAGTGAAGATGAAGCTGGACAAATAAGTTGGGGCCTTATTGTAGAGGGTCCTGAACGCCAGGCTCCAAATAGAGAATCCCCACATTATTCTCCGCACACTTAGAATTTATTAAATGTGTTAAATTAGGGAATACTTGCACTTACGTTGATGTTCACTTCAAACATCTTCTGGGCTTACTCTAAGCCATATTCTGGCATAATGACTAACGAGAACGAGTAAGACGAGGTCCTTGGTCTTTGGTTCTACTGTCTAGCATTTGTCAGGAGTACAATACTTGTTACACGAATAAAAAGGAAAGGTCGGGAATTGCAAGAGAGAAAGGTGTCGTTGGGGTTTAATTGAACATTTTTATACGGGAGGGGGGCTGATGAGATCTGGGGCTGGGGGAAGGCAATGGAATTAGACAAGGAGATGCGGAACTAAGACCATTCTGAATACAAAATATATAATAGGACTATATGATCTTTGGGGAGGTGCAAAATGGTCAAAGGGTAGAGCAGAAGGACAGCGACTAGAATCAAAGATGTAGGCGAAGAAAAAACAAAAGAGAAGGCAGAGTTCCCGGGAGAGTTCATTTAGGTTCTCCCAATCTCTTCCTCCCGCGGGAGGGGCCCCTTAACTTACATTTTTCGCAGACCATCCTTCCCCACGACGGTTCCCCTAGCCGCAACAGCAGCAGTGGCAACAGAAGCCTGAAAACATCAAAACTAAAATCGAGAAGGCTTCCCCTTCCGGGCTACGTCAACCCACTTCCGGCTTCTAAGCACGCCGCTCGCGTCTAGCCCAAACTTGGAAAGCCGCGGGAGGAATGAACGGGAGCGTCTAGGCGGGGCTGCCCCATTTGCCCGCCCCTCTCTTTCTGCTACTGGCTGTGCGGCCGTGGGTCTCCGCCCCTTAACCTTGCGCTTGCGCGTGGGCCTGGGTCGTCGTACCTGATGGTAGGAGGCAGTAGTTCCCCGCTTCCCTTCCGCGGGCGGGAGAGTTAGGTAAGCCCCAATGTACGCCCCCGGCGCTCCTGCCTCCTGGGCTGCAAGCCTCCCCCGCGAACTGCTGTAGCAGCCTTGAGCCTTGGCGTCCCGGCCCGCCCGCGCTCGCCCTGAGCTCGAGCGCCACTCTTCCGGCGTGCCCTGATGGACAGACACCCCTTTCGTATCCCAGTTTCTGCCCCTGTCCCCCAGTTTTCCCTTGTCTCCAACTCCCGTGTTCTTTGATCCTGCCTCTTAGCTGGTTCCTCGCTGCCCACGCTCGCGCCGGCCTAGGCTCGGGCAGAATCCCGAGCGACCCAGGTTGGGGTGGGGCTGCCAGTGAAGGTGCGGAGATGCCCGCGAGGGCTCCTCTGGGGGCCGCTCAGAAGCGCCTTCTCTCTGCTGCGGTGCCTGGCTAGGTGGGCCGGGTCATGCCCATGGCACCCCTGTAGGCGTCCTGGGGGCACGCCAGGGCCTAACACTGTGCTGGTTTCCAGGAGAGTTAGTTTCCCGCTTTACCTACTCTGGTTCCTTCATTCGTTAAGCAAACATTTGAGTTTGGTTCTTGCTCACTGTATTACGTTCATCATCTGCTGTTGGCAGCTGCGATTCCGAGGGTGGCTCAGAAAAATGGATGAAGGGTCTGTTGTGAGGATGGATTCCTGATGATTGCCCTCCCTCAATCAGCTTAAGATAGAATCTATGGGAAACTTTCCCTTTGTCCCTTCTTGCCATCCGTTTCCTTCTCCATCTCTGTATTTTCTTATACCAGAGAGAGGGCTGTAGCTAGCTCTTGGGACCTTGGACCTCCTCACCTGTTTGTCCTGTTTCCTTAACAGTAAAGTATCTGTCTTTGAAAAGCATTGGGTGAATTAAGTGAGAGCTATTATAAGGCCCAGGTGTTTTGAAACAAATACATTGCCCATAGGAAATTGACTTTATGACTTATTTGTAGGGGTTGAAACATTTTGGACAATGGAAAAAATCATTATTGCATATGCTCTTCTTGTTTTTCATTAGCTAGCCACCCAGGAAAACACCATGAAAGATACCGATATCAAAAGACTACTGTATACCCATCTTTTATGCATATTTTCAATTATCCTAAGTGTCTTCATTCCATCACTCTGCTTGGAGAACTTCTCAATATTGGAAACACACTTGACATGGTTGTGCACCTGTTCTGGTTTTGTAACTGCTGTCAATCTAGTACTATATTTAGTAGTGAAACCAAATGCACCCTCTAAAAGAAGTTCATTATCACACAAGGTAAGGCTTATTTCTAGATAACTGATTTTTTGATGGAGCTAGTGTTTCTTTTAATGAAACAATGAAGTATTCATCAAATCTTCATTAGGTTATTTATAGTGAGTAAAGGGAACCTGATTTTTTCCCTCCAAAATTGGTAGCCTGTTACTTGCTAGAAGGCTGCCCACAATGTTTGATTGATCCTTTCCTTGCATTAATTGTGGAATTATGACTTCTTCAGTGCATATTATAATATTGTGAGCCTGATTAATCATTATTTTATGTCACCATTGAAAATAAATACATATGACAGTCTATCTTTCAACCTTATTCAATAAGACACTGCAGTTTATTTATTTTTGCATTTCTGAAAGCCACTTAATGGGTTTTTCAGAAGTTGCAATGTAAGCCTGTGATAATGCTTGTTTCCCACATGGCCTTCCTTGACTAAACAGTTTTCAGATATTAGAATTAATTTTCCAGAATATTCACTGCAGTAGATATTCACTTGGCTATTACTAATAAAGTCCACACTTAACATTATTTTCTACTGTGTGTTAGCTCTGTTAGGTCATTTACTGCCTATGATTGGAAAAGCTGAATGTATGCGTTATGTTCATATATTCTTAAGCTCCAAATCAAGAAGGTCTCATGTTTATTTGTAGATGTTCAGGTCTTTTCTCATATGGGTCATGTAGTATGAGTGTGATTTCGAGAATTGTTTAGTCTTGCTTTTTTAGTGCAGTTTTCCCAGGAATTTTGTTTTAAAATGAAAAAATTGTTTTCTGCAGATATTTCCTGTATCATTGCATAGTACTGTATTTTTTGTATCCTAGCTCTCTGATATCAGTCAATATTTAACGACAGGTCCATACATTACCATGGAAACAGAATCTCTTTTTGACTCATGTGAACTTGATGGGTGGAATATGGGGCGGGGCGCTTTTTTAGTCTGTATTGAGGGCTGTGTATGTGACTGAGTACAGGACATGTGATCTGACTTGAGTATACCCAAGAACATTTGAACTGTTTTACACATTATGGGAACAAGTTGTGTTTGTAGATAAAATGGAATAATTTATTGTCCTTTAGGAATTATCTTGAGTCTTAACATTATTCATTTCTCTTTTAGGTAACCAGATTTTTGAAGTGCTGTATCTACTTTCTTATGTCTTGTTTCTCCTTTCATGTAATTTTTGTTCTATATGGAGCACCACTAATAGAGTAAGTTTGAAATTTTTACCTTAAATTTATATTTTAAAACATTCATTTACCAAACTGTATGCTAATTCTTAGCAACTGAAGAAAATCCATGATGTGTATCATTAAGGGATCAAGTAAGGACACCAACATCATTAGCAATGTTATTCTTTTTAAAAACAGCAGAATACCTTAATTTATTAAGTACTCTCATTACCTAGCCTTCTATTATCCAATTGCATGTTGGGAGAAAGGAGAGTAGATGAGAAACTGTATTGTACCAATAATATTTGGCCCTTAGAACCTCTGAGAGAACGTACTATGATCATATGTGTAAGTTAGTTATAATTAGCATATCAAGTTCTTATAAATGTGATTCTGAAGTATTTGAATGGAGTTTTTCTTAACAAAAGTCAATAGATTCCTGTATTCAAATACTTAACAAGCCAGTTTAAAGGTAAAATTTAACACTTTTTCTGAACTAATTTCAAATTAGTAGAAACCAAATTCATGAATGTTTCTTACATAATGTTTATCATAGCTTGAGAAGCTTCAGTTTAGCAGTGATTAACAATCATGGTGAAATGAGTGAAGAGATATATATACATATACACACATATATGTGTTGCTAAGTATACCATTTTATATATATATATTTATACATAGTTTTACATATACACACTAAACTAACAGGTTATTGTTTTTTAGATGGGAGAGAACAAGACCTTTGTAATGGAAAAGCGTGGTTTCTGTCTAATCCATTTTAAAGTAGAATGAATGTATCTGGCACAGTAGTTCTCAAAATGTGGTTTTCAAGCCAGCAGCATCAGCATTTTATCAAAATGCAAATACTCAAGCTTCAGTCAGAAACTGTAGGGGTAGAGCCACTCGATCTTTAGTTTATCCAGCTCTCCAGGTGGTTCCAATATAGGTTAACATTGAACCACTAGTTGTAGAGAAAGTTCCAGAGACTATTGAGGAGAAAGCTAACTGTCTAGAAATGGATTTTGTTTGTATGTTTTTGCAATGGAAGTCTCAGCATGGATCCTAGGGTCTTTAACACTTCTGAAATCTATGATTAAAGCCAAACATTTGCTAGATTGTTTTTTAAAGCTGCATGTTGTTAGTAAAATTATAGTCATCATTTTGGTGGCACTCATGTTACATTTCAAAGGTAAAGCATAAGAAGATATTTTACATTTTATTTATGTAATAAAGATTATGTATGTGTATGTTTACCGTTAACACTTAAAAAATTAACACATCTTTTTTTTTCTAGGTTGGCATTGGAAACATTTTTATTTGCAGTTATTTTGTCTACTTTTACTACTGTACCTTGCTTATGTTTGTTAGGACCAAACCTCAAAGCATGGCTAAGAGTTTTCAGTAGAAATGGGTAAGTTTTAATTTTATATTATAATGATATTTGAAATTTTTAAAAAATTAATGAAGTATTTTTCTATTCATGTCAGTTTGCTGCTTATTCTCAGTGTTTCTCAGTGCTGATGGTGCTCAGAGATGCCTTAAGGGGTCACTGCAGTTGGACTGGGGACAGGACAGGCAGAACTACAAGCCCCTCCCTCCGGGTTAAGATCAGCTCTGCTGTTTTCTGTATAGTAGAATTCCACTTAGCCTTTTTTTTTTTTTTTTTTTTTTTTTTTTTAAAAAAAAAAAAGGAAATTTAAAAAATTTCTGCTACCAAAAGAAAGCTTTGAAAACTGTGGTTCTGGGATAATTTGGCACTGTGATAAAGTTGCTGTGAATAAAATTTCTTACCTACATTTTATAATGTAGAAGTGGGGTCCACAATCTAAAAATGTGATGTGTAACAATGATAATTTCTTGTTTAGCCTTTTTCGTGGTAAGAGAGAGCAAGTTTTATGGGATTTCATTTCCTTAGTGTCTGTATGTGTTTTCAGCATGGTTAAGTTAAAACTTAAGCTTCTTGAAAGTCATTGAAATGATATGCACCAGAAACAGTGGAGATCTAGCTAAGAAAGCCAGAAGGTTATTTGATTCTGTCCTGTTTATCACCCAGCAGCAAAAACTTCTTCAGCACTTACTCTGTGCTCTGTGTTATGCTAAGCTGTGCGGATTCTGAAGTATAGGGAGGATTCTTTTGCCTAGGAGCTTAGATGTTCAAGGGACAAAAATGAAATGAGCAAATAATATAAGATTACAATTGTGTAAATTCAGCAATAAGTGCTGTAGAAACTCAGAGGTGAGGGAATTGCTTGAACCCGGGAGGCAGAGGTTGCAGTAAGCTGAGATCACACCACTGTACTCCAGCCTGGGCTACGTAGTGAGACTGTCTCAAAAAGGAAAAAAAGGAATTAGTACTGTTTGTTCTCTCTTGAAAAGATCTTCTAATATTCATAAAGCCTGTAGAAAACAAAAGTTTAACAACTGAAAGCATTTTCTGCATTGTTACCATCATATCCCAAATGGAAATTAATTTCTTTTAAACTTTTAGTTTGAAATTTTTAAACAGTGTAATTAGATTGAAATCGTATTAGTTTGGATTAGTGATTTCTCCAGTTTTCAGTTCTACATCTAATGGTGTGTTTGGGGGATACTGTCATGTGATTTTACAATTACTTCTATTATAATGTGGCATGTTTATTCCTAAAGATCACTACACTGTACAAAAGGGCAATAAAACCACAGAGCTTATGGGAAAGATGGGGTTAGAGCATAACACTGAAACAATTCATTAGTGACCGGTAAACAGAAGATGGGAACTTAATAAAAATGGTAGCACGGTTTTACACGTGTTAAATGTTAAGAAATAACAGGCATACCTCATTTTATTGCTTCTCATTTTATTGTACTTCTCAGATATTGCTCACATAGTGTTTTTTATAAATTGAAGGTTTGTGGCAACCCTGCATCAAGCAAATCTATCATTTTTCCAATAGCATGTGTTCTCATCGTTGGAAACTCTCACAATATTTCACGCTTTTTCATTATTATTATATCTATTATGGTGATCTGTTATCTTTGCTGTTACTTATTACAATTGTTTTGGGGCCCATGGATCATGCCCATATAAGATGGTGATCTTAATCAATAAATGTAAATGTTGTATGTGTTCTGACTGCTCCACCTACTGACATTCTTTCTCTTGCACTCTCTTACTTTCTCCTCTCTTTCTCTCTCTCTCTCTCTCTCTCTCTCTCTCTCTCTCTTTCTCTCTCTCTCTCTCCCTCTCGCCTCCCTGAGATACAAAAATATCAAATTTAGGCTAGTTAATAACCCTACTATGGTCCCTTAAGCGTTCAAGTGAAAGGAAAAAGTTATGTCTCTCACTTTAAATCAAAAGCTAGAAATGATTAAGCTTAGTGAAGAAGTTAGGTTTTCAAAAACTGAGATAGGCTAAAAATGAAGCCCCTGTGCCAAATAGCCAAGTTGTGAATGCAAAGGAAAGGTTCTTAAAGGAAATTTAAAGTCTACTCCAGTGAACACATGAATGACAAGAAAGTGGAACAGCCTTATTGCTGATGGGGAGAAAGTTTTAGTGGTCCAGACGGAAGATCAAACCAGGTACAACATTCTAAGTCAAATCCTAATCCAGAGTAGGGCTCTAACTCTCTCCAATTCTCTGAAGGCTGAGAGAGGTAAGAAAGTTCCAGAAAAGTTTGAAGCTATCAGTGGTTGATTCATGAGGTTTAAGGAAAGAAGCCATCTTCATCACATAAAAGTGTAAGGTGAAACAACAAGTGCTGAAGTAGAAGCTGCAGTAAGTTGTCTAGAAGATCTAGCTAAGACCATTGGTGAAGGTGGCTAAACAACAGATTTTTAATGTAGACAAAACAGCCTTCTATTGAAAGAAGATGGCATCTAGGACTTTTATAGTTAGAGAGGAGAAATCAGTGGCCAGCTTTAATGCTTGACAGGCTGACTCTCTTGTTAGGGACCGGTGCAGCTAGAGACTTTTAAGTTGAAAACGCTAATTTGCCATTTTGTAAATGGTAAGAATTTACACATTTAAAGTTATGCTAAATCTACTTTGCCTATATACTGTTAATGGAACAACAAAGTCTGGATGACAGCACATCTGTTTATAACATGGTTTACTGAATATTAATTTTAAGCTCACTGTTGGGACTTACTGCTCAGAAAAAAAAAAAAAAAAAAAAAAAAAAACCTTTCAAAATATTGCTGCTTATTGACAATGTACCTAGTCAACCAAGAGCTCTGATGGAGATGTACAAGGATATTAATGTTTTTTTTTTTTCGTGACTACAACACAAGATCCATTCTGCAGCCCATGGATCAAGGAGTAATTTTGATTTTTCAAGTCTTATTACTCAAGAAACACATTTTGTAAGGCTATAGCTGCCATAGATAGTGATTCCTCTGTTGGATTTGGGAAAAGTAAGTTGAAAACCTTCTGAAAAGGATTCACCATTCTAGATGGATGCCATTAAGGAAACTTGTGATTCATGGGAGGAGATCATAATATCAACATTAATGAGAAGTTGACTCCAATCCTCATGAATGATGTTGAGAGGTTCAGGTCTTCAGTGGAGGAAACCACTGCAGATGTGGAAATAACCAGAGAACTAGAATTAGAACTGGACCCTGAAGATGTGACTGAATTGCTGCAACATTATGATAAAACTTTAACAGATGAGGAATTACTCCTTTTGGATGAGAGATAAAGTGGTCTTCTGAGATGGAATCTACTGAAGATACCATGAATATTGTTGAAATGATAACAAAGGATTTAAGATATTACATAAACTTAGTTAATAAAGCAAAGCAATGGCAGGGTTTGAGAGAGTTGACTCCAGTTTTGAAGGAACGTTTGCTATGGGTAAAATGCTATCAAACAGCCTGGCATGCTACAGAGAAATCTTTTTGTAGGAGGAAGAGTCAATTGATGCAACCGACTTCATGGTTAAAATTTCATTTTAAGAAATTGCTGGCTGGGCGCAGGTGGCTCTTGTTTGTAATCACTGTGTTTTGGGAGGCTGAGGCAGGCAGATCATTTGAGGTCAGGAGTTGGAGACCAGCCTGCCCAACATGGTGAAACTCCATCTCTATTAAAAATACAAGAAAAATTAGCTGGGCGTGGTGGTAGGTGCCTGTAATCCTAGCTACTTGGGAGGCTGAGGCATGAGAATTGCTTGAATCCAGGAGGTGGATGTTGCGGTGAGCCAAGATCACTCCAGTGTACTCCAGCCTGAGCGACAGAGCAAGACTCAGTCTAAAAAAAGGAAATTGTCACAGCCTCCCCAACCACCCACCCTAATCAGTCAGCAGCCATCAACATCAAGGCAACACCTTTCACCAGCAAAAAGATTACAACTTGCTGAAGGCTCAGATAATCATTAACACTTTTTAGCAATAAAGTATTTTTAAATTACATACATTTAAAAAACAAAATGCTAAAAATGAAAAAAATAAAAATAAAAAACATAATGGTATTGCCCACTTAATAGACTACTATATAATATAAATAACTTTATATGCACTGGGAAACCAGAAAATTTATATGACTCACTTTATTGTACAATTTGCTTTATTCTGGTGATCTGGAACCAAATCTGCAATATCTACAAGGTATACCTGCACCCAAATATTACAGTAATCATGGTACTTTTCCTTGGAAAAGGTTTCCTTGGCAAAGGTTTGCTTCTGGAAGTAGACATGAGAAGGGTTGACTGTTGTGAGTTATTGTGAAGTGGCGAGATGGTTGTTGGAAATCTGAGGGAAAATGAACACCAGATGTGAGTGTGTGTGGCTCATGACATGTAGTAAACTGAGGTAGCCGGGAGATGGGTATTTTTAAAAACAGTGTTGAGATATAATTCCCATACCATATACAATCACCTATTTAAAATATACAACTCAGTGGTTTTTTACAACCACTAATGCACTTACTGTTTCTATAGATTTACCTATCTGGAAATATAAATGGGGTCTTATAATATGTAATTTTTTGTGACTGCCTTTTACTTAGCGTAATGTTTTCAAGGTTCACCTCTGTTGTAGCATGCTTCAGTATTTTGTTCCTTTTTGTGGCTGAATAATATTCCATTGTATGGATATATACCAAATTTTGTTTACCCGTTTATCAGTTGATGGACATCTGAGTTCTCTCCACATTTTGGCTTTTGTGAGTAAGGTGCATCAAACATCTGTGTACAGGTTTTTGTATGGACATACATGTTTATTTCTCTTGGGTATGCCTAGTAGAGTGAGATTCCTGGGTCAAACGGTAGTGTTAAGGGTTTGAGAAGCAAGCACCAGTTTTTAAACTCTATAAAGCGCAGTTTGGTAGCATCTGTAAAAATTACAAATATACTTCTTGACCCAGCAATTCTACTTCTTGGATTTTATCCAGTAGATATTATACTTGCATACTAACAAAATGTTGAATATATAAGA